ATTTGCCCTAACCTTGGCTTCTTGCCTGAGCCCACACATTGATCTTGGGCTGGGAGAGAAATGTTCCTGCCCTGCCGGCGCTCCAGGTCCGCTGAAAAACCAGGGGCCCAGAGGCCCGGGTTACACCACCAGCACATCTTCCCCAGAAAAACTCTAGCCAGAGACAAGTGGAGTGTGATCACGCTGCACAGCCACCTTGGACACTCTTCCAAAGAGAAAATCCCCCCAACTGCTAGTCTACTGTCTGTCAGGCTTCCAGCAATCATTGGCTCACCCTTAAACCCGTTTCCAGTAAACACATGCTGGGTTTAATGTGTGTTGGGCTCGGAGGCAGGGGCGGGGGCGAGGGGAGGACAGAGACCAGAGGGCAAGATTCTGGCTGGTGCCTCTCAGGTGTACAGACACCAAACATTGACCAGTTCCGACTTCCTTCGGTTATTTTGGGAGCCCTCAAATGACAGAACTCAGATCTTTTTAAAGGCCTTCTTCGCAGGCACGGGCTCCAGCTTCGCTGCAAACAGCGTAACTGATACCCACCAGACTCTTGGGGCACCGGGCAGGGATGGCGAGCACACGATACAGTGGCCAAAAATAACCTCTGCGCTGCTCTGGCCAGGCGACTTCTCACAGGCTTCCTAGGCTTCGCCAGGGACCTGGCCCGGGACTCGGGGCCTGGGACAGTGCATGTGTGCGCCTCCCCGGAGTGGCACCTTCCCTTCGGGCGATCTTTGGAGAGGCTGCTTCTTTTTCTCTAACTAAAACTTGTAATTTGAAAACATTAAACTAAACCAACCTTGGGAAGTAAAGAAACTACCGAAGCCTGAACTTCAATTCGGAGGGGGGAGGAGGAGGAGCGGGCCGTTTATGGAAAAGCAAAGGTGGGTGTTCGGGAAGGTGAGCCGCCGCAGTCCAGGAGGAAAGTGCCCCGAGTTCGGGGGCCCCTGCCCACCCCAAACCCTGTCTGCAACCCTCGCGTGCCCTCCCGCCACGCCACTGCCACCGCGCCCGCCCCGCCAGTACCTGGTGAAGACGTCTGGGTAGTGCGTCTTCTGGAAGGCCCGCTCCAGTTCCTCCAGCTGGTAGCTGGTGAACGTGGTGCGGTAGCGCCTCTGTTTGCGCTTCAGCAGCCCCTCCTCCGAGTCGCTGCCCGCAGACAGGCACACGCTGTCCTCGCCATCCTTGCCCTCAGTGTCCTCCGGGTGCAGCAGCAGCTCTTCCTTGGGCGACAGCTCCCCGCCCTCGGTGGCCACGGCGGCGGCGGCGGCGGCGGCGGCGGCGGCGGCGGCTGCGGCCACCGCACCAGGGGCGGCCACAGCGCAGCGCCTAGGCTCCTTAAGCAGAGCGCGGGCATTGTCCTCCAGCAGCTCTTCCTCGTCGTCCTCCAGCAGCTCCTCTTCCTCGTCCTCATCCTCCTCGTCTTCCAGCAGCTCCTCCTCGTCGTCCTCCGCGCCCGTGCCGCCACTCGCCGCCGGGGCACTGCCCGGGCCGCCGGCGGCGCCGAGGCGCTCGTCCGGGTGCACGACGCCCCCGGGGCCGCTCAGCTCGTCCAGGGCGGGCGGCGGCGGCACGAAGGGCGCCCCGTTCTCGCGGTACGACTTGCTGCGGCTGATGCTCACCTGCGGCGCCTGGCTGATCTTGAGCGTGTCCCAGGCTGCGGCGGCCGCGGCGGCGGCGGCCACGGCGGCCCCCGCGCCGTCCGGCCGCTCCCC